CTAATACTATTTAGGTATTTATACTATAAGATCTACTAAGTATAAAGGCTTTAAAGCCTCTATACTATTATACTATTCTAATATCTTCTATCTCACTATATAGGCTTAATAAAGAGCCTTACTATTAATAGCTATACTCTTAATATTAAATTTACCCTTCCTAACTTATTAATATTTAAGTATTTAAGCTATTTTAGCTATTATAAGAAAATATATAAAGAAGTTATAAATACTATAATTATTATTAGTAGCTTTAATTATATCTATCTTAATCTTAAAACTATATAGTTATAATATATTATACCTACTAACTATTTAAGTAAGTACTTCTAAATAAATTTAAATAAAGTTAATTTATTAATATAGAGAAAGTTGCTATACTAAAAGTCCTTAATTTAACTAACTTTAGTTTAAAAATTAAGTTATTTATAATAATTTCATTTAGTTTATATATAGTTATAATAATATAGAACGATATTAAAATCACTATATATATAGGATAATATAAAGAATTAACTTAAGGCTTTATTTAAAGTAGTAATTAGGTTTTTATATTATAGTTATAAATACTCTTTTAATTATATTAAGAGTTATACTGTTAAGTATATACTGTTAAGTATAGAGTTAAGCTATTATGCTTAGTTATATTATAAATAACGCTCTTATAATATTATAAATAATACTCTTATTAATATATTTTATTACTTTATTCTTTAGTTATTTATCCTCTTCTATATAACTGAGAATAAGTTAAATTAAGTATTAATTACTAGTTATACTAAGACTTATTTATTTACTATTCATTTTACTAATATTAAACTAGCTTCAAACTACTTTTATATATATATTAGGTTTAAAGTATTATAAAAGAAAAAGGATAGAGTGAACTGTAATACCTACTTATATAGGTTAACTAGACTGCTAGTATATTATCTATATACTATATTTATGTTATATACTATATTTATACTATATACTAATATTATATAAATAGATTTATACTATATTATATAGTAGTTTACTTAAATCTATATCAGTAAGTATTATGTTTTTTTTCTATATTAATATTACCTATTTTAAGCTTAATAGTGAGAATTTAAAAGCTTTATTTAGTATATTAATATTATTCTATATAGTATAAAAGCGTACATAAATAAAGTAATATTATTAGGGGTAGGAATATTATATAATATAGCAAAAAGGGGAAACTATTTATTTTATTAATTATTATAATAAACTTTCTAATAACTAAAAATAACTATTTATAGCTAGTATAAATAGTTATTACTAATATAAAGAAAGGAATACTAATAATACTAATAATAAATAAAAGGTAGTAATAATAAGTAGTAGTAGTTAAATAGATAAAACTATTAAGTTACTTACTTCTTTAAAATCTATTCTAAGTGGAAAAATCTATTATATATATAATATATTTTTTCCTTATAAACCTTTACTTAGTTAGGTAATTACTTAATTAAGTAATTATTATAATAGGTAATTAACTATAAAAACCTTACTATAAAGTTAATTATTATAGCTTTATTTAATCTAATTTAGATATTCTAGATCTATAGTATTATTATAGTTATAGTTTATAGATTTATTACAGATTATTAGATAGCCTCTAGCCGTTCATAGTGATTTTTACCTGCTTAGAGTAACAGACCCTCCTAACTCTGCACCTCCTGATAATACATATAGCCTTCAGTTATATAATTATAACTCTCCTAACTATAGCCGCACTTATATATACATATCAGTTAATAACCTCACGATCTTCAACTTCACTTTAATAATAATGTGGTTTATAATTACTTAATTACTTAATTACTTAATTACTATAGACTACTAAACTATTAACCTATCCTCTCTCTCGCGTATCACCTACGCCACTAACACTATCTCTATCACTGCTTCGCTATCTGCTATCAGTCTTCTTATTCAATCAGGCTAGCTAACGCCTTTGCAGCTATGCCGTCGTCAGCAACGCTCTCTCTATCAGTCAGCGCAAAGCGCACTCACTAATATTCAAGCCCTACTATGCCTATACCTATGCCTAAGCCTAGGCTACCTCTGCCTTAGTATTATAGAAGGCTTACGCAAAGAAGGGCCACTCTTTAGGATAGCTAGAGACACACATAGCCTCTATATAGAGGCGTTTAAAGCTATTATTTATTACCTTAATTATAGCGTAGAGAGGGTCCCCTTTAGGGGTATTTATAAGGGCTCTAGCTATTACTACCCTAATAATACACTACTAATTAGCGAAAAAGTACTTACTAAATTTAAAGGCTTTATTTAGCGTATAGATATTATCCTATATAGTAATACCTTTAGCTATTTACTTATAGAAGGGCGTGCTTTATAAGGGATTAGTATTCTTATATATCTCTTATAGTATAGATATTATAAAGGACTTATTATAGGTTATAAGTTATTAATATAGGTTTAAGGATAAAGAAGAAGAAGAGGAAGAGGGATAGGTATAAAGCCTTACGTGTAGCAGAGTTTTTATACTTCTAGCTATAAGAACCTCTTCTAATAACCTCTTTAGTTAAGAAGTTATCTCTTATATAGTAGTATTCACCTCGCTAAAAGGTTTAGTAAAGCTGTTACTAAGCTATAAAAGCCTTAGTAACTTATTCAGCCTTAATATAATTAGCCCTACTATATATAGCACTACTAGCCCCACGCTGCGTAGCTAGCACTATTACTGTTCTACTAGTTTATTTAGCTAGGGCGCACGTTCAACTTTATATAGTAATATTCAGAGGGTTTACCTGCTAGCAGGAATATATAGGGTTTCTATACTATTTTCCTTAATTAGTAGAGGGTATAGGTTAAAGTGCCTATATAGTGTTTCTAGAATTATGCCTGCGTATAGGGTGAATTTTACTGTAGTCTTTTTGCAGGGGGGCTATATTATAACTATAAACTTAACAGATTATTAGATTCTATTATTTTAGTTTTAAATCTTAACTTAATATTAACTTTAATTAATAATAACTATATTATTAATTTTAGGAATTATTATTCTATTAATATATACTTTTTATAGTAACTAACCTAATATATAGTTTTTATTTATTTTAGATAATTATAAGAATTACTATAATAGGTAATTTATATAATTATACTTTTTATTCTTATTAGATAAAGTTATAGTTACTTTATTCTTTTTAGTTATATTAATATATAATTAATAGTTATAAGGATAGTTATTTAGTTATTAGGTATAGTTCTACTAATTATACTAATATCAGTAGTTTTAGCCCTATATCTTTTTTATAGCGCTAGTTATATTTAGTTTTACTTAAATTCTCCTTTAGGGGGTACTTAGTTAGAACTTAGTAGTTTTAGATCCCCTTGAGAGGGTATTTAGTTAAGACTTAGTAGCTTTAGAATATAACTATAAGAAGGATCTATATACTTTATAATATTAGTTCCTTTTAGTTTTACTTAAATCTCTATTTTAATATATTTATTTAAATCTTAAGGTTTTTTCTAATAGATATACCTACTTTTATACCTAATAATAGTAATATATTAAAGTTATATTACTTTTAAGTTAATATAGAGAAACTTAAAACTATATCTTATAATCTTAGCGCTTATAAATACTTTATAAATTTCTTTATTATACCTAAAATAACTAAAAAAAAGTATTATCATTTTAAAATAGTAAAAGCATTAATAATATATCTAACACTAATAAAGATATTAAAACTAAATTATAGTAGAAAATAAGTTTTATTATTATATAGATATTTAAATAGTAGAGAAAACTTTAATAAAGAATACATATAAGCTTAAAATAGAATAAAGAATAGAAGAGATTAAAGGAAATAGAAGTAACTATAGTAGATAGTTAACTTAGTTTTTTATAACAGTTAAATTAAAGTTTTAATAAGTAATAGAGGAGGATAAATATTAAAAATAAATTTTTATGTTCAAACTATAGTGAAATAGTTTTAAGGTTATTAATAAAAGATAAAGAGATCTATTTAGTTTTGAAAACTAATACTAAATAAATTATATTATTAAAAGTTATTAGTATATATATATATATATATATACTATATATTTATGCTATATAT